ATGTATGCACCTACGTATAGTAAATAATTAATGTGGAGGTTGAAGATATTTAAGTAATCGCCTTAAAGCTGATTAAAACTCTCGCCACTGGATGCCGTTGTTAATTAGTTGACTCAAGGGCGAGTTGGCATATCCTGACCGTAACTAATATGCTTTTGAACACACTTTTGACAAAGGCTTTTTGACAAGACCAACACAAACAACGCGCGTGCAGAAAACTTATACCATTTTCCCACGGCATCCTGAATTATTTTCTTCGCTCCCCCAATAACGATAACGAATTACCCCATTCCCGCGGGCACATTCTCAATTCAATTTGACAGTTCTCTGTCTGTGTTTTGTTTTTTATACCTTTCATGAGCATGAAATGGTATTATAACTTTGGTCCGATGTTTGTAAGTACCAGAACAAAAAGAGATAGACCCATCAAAATGTATACTTATATGATCAGAACGTCGAGCTGAGTTGATTTATCCATGTCCGTCTGTCCGTCTGTCCGTCTGTCCGTCTGTCTGTCTGTTTGTATGCAATCTAGTCTCTCAGTTTTCGAGATATCCGGATCAAATTTGGTAGGTGGGTGTATTTTTATAATGTATTAATCATTTGTCGGAACCGGAAGAATCGGACCACTATAACATATAGCTCCCATACAACTGATTGTTCAGATATGAGATTTTTCGTTATAACTTCTCCATTTATGCAGCTACGAACATGAAATTTTGCAGTACTTGCACCCATTATCAACAGAATACTTACAGTGAAAATTACAAAGATCGGGTCACTATAACCTATAGCTCCCATACAACTGATTGTTCAGATATAAAATTTTCCGTTATAACTCCTCCATTTATATAGCTGGGAACAGGAAATTCCGCACTGTTTTCAATAATTATCAACAGAAAACTTACAGTGAAAATTAAAAAGATCGGGTAACTATAACCTATAGCTCCCATACAACTGATTGTTCAGATATGAGATTTTTCGTTATAATTCATCCATTTATGTAGCTAGGACCATGAAATTTCGCGCTGTTTTCACTCATTATCAACAGAAGACTTACAGCGAAAATAACAAAGATCGGGTCACTATAACCTGCAGCCCCCATACAACTGATTGTTCAGATATGAGGTCTTTTATCATAACTCCTCCATTTATGCAGCTAGGAACATGAAATTTCGCACCATTTTCACTCATTATTAACAGAATACTTACAGTGAAAATAACAAGGATCGGATGACTACAACATATATCTTCCATACATCTGATTGTTCAGATATGGGATTTTACTGTAAAACTCCTTTATTTGAACAGCTAAAACCGATAAATTTCGTAAGATATTTTATAAATAATAATACAAAGTCTACTGAGAAAATCGTCAAAATCTATGCTGTATAAGCTTTATCTCCTATAGCACTGATTGTTCAGATACCAGTTTTTGCCATATATCTCCTTTATGTAGGAAACTAAACCCAATAAATTGTGTTACCGGTTTACATACCGATCACATAGCAGTGAAAATCACTTAGATTGGTGCCATATAAAGTATATCTTCCATACCTCTGATTGTTTAGATGCGATTTTTTATATAAGTATGTAACTCCTCTATCGATGTATGCAGATGTATTCAAAAGCAGTAATCTGTCAAAGTAAAATTTGCAGATGTTCATGAAAGGTATGAAGCCTTCGGCATAGCCGAAGACAGCGCTGCTCTTACTTGTTTTTGTTTTTCTTGGGTGCAAAATTTATGCAAAATGTAGGTTCTTCCTAAAAATTTATAAGTTTCCTTATTAAATTAGGGATATACACATTTATAAACTTTACTTTTCGTACTCAGAAAAAATGCAAGGTTTGATTTGTGAGCTAGTTTCGATAAATTTCCGATGAAAATCAGAGACGGCACCGATTTGTTCGTAATTCGCATGGTAATTGCATCTGAATTACCAACAAATGAGGTAATTCGCTCTCAAAATTTTGTATGGCGAATTAGGTAATTCGAAGGGTAATTGGAGTGCGAATTACGAATGAGAGAGCGAACTATGTAATTGGGGTGCCGTGGGAAAGCCGTATTAGACTGCATACCGTCCATTCCACAGTTTAAATTTTCCTTTTAATCTATTTTAAATAGATCGAATAAAGAGCATCAGATTGTTGAAAGTCAGAGAGCTCTGGCGTCCGGCTTTCAATACCGCGCCCCAGTGCCGCCTAAAATCGAAAAATTCGTTGTCTGCAATGTGAACGTGTTTGGTATTTTTGTAAGGTAATTTATCCACGAAAAAGAATTAAATAGAAATTTCACTATAAAATAAACAATATGCCGCCAGGAAGCCACTAAAGTCGACAAATTTTATACAAAGAATTTTAATAAGAGCATATCCATACCTAAGCTCTTCACGGAAACAAATGTCAAAAATACATTCATTGAAATAAAATGTTGGTTTGACGTTTTTTATTGCCATATAGATGGTAGAGAACTACAGGGATACAAATTTTGGAATAAAATTAAACACAGGGTGTCCCTGCGGTATTCCAGAAAAACAAATTTTTTTAATCAAAATTTCAAAAAATGTTAAATTTTAATGGAATGAATAAAAAATATGTCATTTTCAATTATTTTATTAAATGGTACGGGTTTTTAGCTTTCGAAAGAAGAAACTTACATATGTAAAAGCCACAAGAACCCAAATTTTCAACTTCAAACTGCATTTACAGTGAAAATATAAAAGTTATCAAAAAAAAAATTCATTTTTGAATTAAGCGTCCTCCATTTTACTAAAAAGTGAATTTTCATTTAAATCCGGCCATAATTCTATTTTTGTCCACATTTCATATGGAAGAGAAGCACTGTGCGTCGCGCCCAAAAAGCATCCTACCTAATCCTTGCAGAGCCGTCTCATCATCAGCCAGCAGTGCTAAAAGTCATCTGCGCTCCCATCTGCTAAATCACAGCAGATATCTATGCGGGTAGCTTTGCCGAGATGCAGGACAATTTGAGTTTCGACGTTGATGAAGGAGATATTAAGCAGTTTTTGACAATAGCCTTGTTGACCGGTTGGTTGGTTGATAGCAGTGCTTCATAGTAACTGACTACGACACAACTAGAGCGTCTGGAGCCATTTTGATGCATATTTCGTGGAAATTATTAATATCTACGTATATATATTTTGATTTTTTTTTGTTAAAACCATCTTGATTCCCTTGCGAATTTGCTGATTTCGCCTATAGCAAATCCTGATATATTTATCTGGTAGTTTGGTGTGTATGTGTCCCCCAAGTGCTTAATGTCTAACAGCCACTAGGTCTTGACATTCACAAAGGAAATGCTGGACACTTTCTTCTCTACCTTCTAGCTGGCAGCCCCATTCTCGCTGCATGTTTGTCTGTAGGCCAGTGGCCCGTAATGGTTTGATGGCCGAAGTTAAATAATAAAAAAAGTTCAACAGCTTCTTCCAATGGCTGGTAGTTTTTCTGAGAGGCTCTTTTATGACAGAAATACACTAAAACATTTGACATTGCCTGGTAAGAGGCGACTCTTATTTATTGGACAATCTTTTTTTTGCCTAACGACCTTGCGATGGTTGCAAGCGTTCAATTATTAGTAACACTGTGCGACACCATGCAGATTGAACTACGGGAGTTAACCTGAAAAAAACAGACCATTAGCTATTCACAAGAAAATAAAAGATCGCCTAAATAAAGGCTTGCGGTACTGGACGGTACGGCAATAAATTTGTGGGAATTCACCAAATACCAAGGAGTAGTAGTTGAAAAAAATAAGTAGGGCACAAAATTTTCAGGAGCATACAAAAAAGCTAATAGTGTGGGATAGGGTGGTCCAAAAATGCATGTGAAAAAACAAAGTCGGAATTTTAATGCTCTCACTCCTAGGATTGTTCCATACGGAAAAAATATACCGCTGTTTTTTTTAATTTCGTAGAAATGGTATAGAATTTTTTGAAATTAATATTTTTCGTTCGGAAAACTTTGTTTATCTTTAGGAGACTGCCAGTAATAATACCCTGATGTTTATTACACCATTACCACGAAACAACTGAAAACATCTGATCATTCATTCTTTGCAATGGGGGATTATTTGCATAGAATTCTCATAGGGTTGGCGGGGTTCACCCGCTATATATTGATGACAAATGCAAAGCTGACAAGGAACATACGACCACCCCTAACTTTCCGGGAAACGACACGGTAGATACAGCAATAGCCACTTTTAAGAAGTTTGTTAAACATCACGCCATTGCAAAAAATTCAGGATTATTTCTAAAAAAAAAAAACGAAACGCTTACGGGCCCTTCCTAATGTGGAATCAGAACCTGTATTGACCTATGAGACATGTAGGACCGAATTGAATAAGTTATCAAATTGAAAAATAAATTACTAAATTACCAAATTTGATAAATAAAGAAAATAAATACGAATTTTGGTTAAAAATTACCAAAGCGGCAACGCTGCTGGGGCCATTCTCTTCCGCCAGTATGGCAAAGAGAGTGGTGGTGCAAGTGAAATAACCGGTCCGTATCTTAATTGTGCTTTCCTCGCCCGGAACTAATTTGTATCCTTGTAAAAGTATAGTACTCTGCAGATACGCTTTCTTATGGGTTTGCCAGATATAAAATATTTTTTGCGTCGCGGGGATGCCTTTCACTAGTAAGACACACAGAACTGGATGCCACAATGAAAACAATGCTGTTAGTAAAACGCTTCAATTTGATTGGCAAAATTTAATTTGTTCTATAAATTGTTGTTGTGTCGCATTGGCGCGCGTTAAAAGTAGAAAGATGGTCGATTTCTACCAGTTGCCTCAATGCAAGCATACCCAAGTGAAGTCTTCCATTCAAGAACACAGAGTTCAGTCTAATGTCAGTCAAAAGTATCCCTACGACGCGGAATAAATATTCTATCTGGTGTTACCTTTATTCTAACCGAACGTATGTAGTTAAAAAAGAAGCCTTACAAACTAAAATAAAGCGGATTTTTTTTATACTTACACAAAATACTTAATTAACTGCAAAAGTTGCGCCGTCGGCCTTGCGGTGGGATCTCGACTGACCAAACGGGAGGTGGCCTCCTGCAGTGGTACCGGTACACGCGGCAACATTTTCTGCACAGATTCTTCCAGCTGTGAAAAATGAATTATGTAAAAATAAGGTATTGAAATTTAACTGTAGTTTTTGCTTCATTAAATGCTAGAATATAATACAATGAAACAAATTTTAATTGAAAAGGAAAAAAAATAAGATTATCTTAAAAACGAGCCACACAAAAATTACCAAGAACGCCATACACGTGAATGCTTTCCTCTAAGTTTTTCTAACAAGCAAATGTTTGGAAAAAGATTCTTTCAAATTTGTTTCATTATCTCATATGTGCCTGCACACTTCTTTGCTGCTTATAAAAGAATCAGTTGTTCGGAAAAGATCTTTTCAACAGTTGCTGCCAGATTTAATCTTAAATGAAATACCAGGCATTAACGTAGCTAGATGATAGCCATTAATGTACTTAGTAATTTTTTATTTTTTCTATTTTAACATTTCAACAAAAAGAGCCTATCTACAACTATCAACCGACGTTTAATTAAAACTCAATAGCCATAGAAAAATTTAGGCAGCCAAATAAAAAACAAAGTACTTTTCATTTTACGCTTCCCTCAAAAATTTCAATCAAACACTCAGCGATACGATAAGCTTAATCTTCTGCCGCCTGCATTTGTACTTTTATTCATGCGTTCCATTCTTTATCAATGTCAATAGCACTTTGCACATAAACTTTCTACACTTGTGTTCACTTGAAATTTAAACTTGAGCCTCTTCAATGCTGAATTTCACTAGGATAGCATTCGGACCCTCCTTAAGCAAACAATTCAAGCTGACTAATCTTCAGAAACAACAAGAAAAAACAAAAAACAAAAAACAAACTACATAACGTACGTACTCGTGCCTAGTCAGTTTACAATTGTTTTCTCTCTTAGCTTTCGAAATCTCGCCTAGTTCGGTGACTTTAGTTGATGTATGTAGTCGTAGTAGTTAGTGTGAAAGATTTGTTTTTGCGTGAAAAAAATTGAGATGGGTTTTACAGAAACCATTGGCTGGAATTGAATAGAATTGTGGCTGGCCGAAAAAACCAAAAACATTTTTTCCAACCACTTAGGCACACGATTGCCATTTCCAATTTATTTTTCGGACCAAAAAATGGACCAATTTTTATTATTTACATCGGCAAATTGAGTGGAGTTAATTCCTCTTTGCCAATTCAGTTTTTATAACGATTTTTTTTTTATATGGCATCCAAAGTGCGTGCATTACAATTGTATATTATTAACATTATATTATTTAAAGTTTTAAATTATAATTTGTTTCTTAATTTCGTTTTTATTAATGCTAAATCAAAAAATTTGCGCTCAACTGCTGCGGAACTGTGTGGCAGAATAAAAATATTATGAGCTAAATCACACAATTGTCCAATCCAAAGGCCGCTTCACTAAATCCATTTTTAATCAAACTTACTTGATCCCAAAAACGTTCTACATTGGTACAGTTTTTGAAGTTACCTTCTCTCAGCCGCAATTTGCGAAATTGAAATTCAATTATGTCTGCATCATTTACCAATGCAGGAAATTGGTCGAGTAACGGCAAAATTGATACATCATTGTCAGAAAGAACTTTATGTAGTATAATAATTTCAAGATGTTTAATATCTTTTCGAATGAAATCGAATATTATTTTCTTGTGCTAAATGCTATGATTTAAGTTTTGCTACCTTTGCATATTTTTGCCAGCCACTTTAATATTGGTCACCGAGTAATTGAAATTAGCAAAAAAACGCGATATTTTTTGAAGCGTGCTTTGACAGATGATTAGCCATGCCATATTTGAAGATCAGTGGCAAGGCGTCTTTACACTTTTAGCAGCTGTTGCCAATCGGCCCTATGCGGAATATCGTCATCGTCGACGATCGTCAGCGCGTCAGTGGCTGACGATGGCCGTATCGTCACTTTTACTGACAATGACGATATTCAACATAGGGCGGAATATTCATCAATTAAATAGAAAAAATTGAAAACGCGAAACTATTCAGTGATCGGACTTCTACCACATTGTGGTAGATCTACCACCTTTTTGAGATCTACCACATCTACCACTCAAGGTCTGAAATCTACCACATATTCGCGTTTTTGATTATTTTTATTTTTGCTCGACATAATTTTCTTAATTATAAGAGCGGAAATTGTTCAACACTAAACACTATATAGTAACAAGAATGATATAATACAAGATTCCGCATTCCCGGCGACGATGAAATCTCTCATGTAAAAGTAAACAAAGCCGAATGGGAGGATAAACTTAACTGTAAAATAGTAAATTTTCTCAGTAATAAATTTTTCGACAGGAAACGTGGTTTATTGTGTTAAATTGCAAAATATATGATTTATAAAAAGAATTAATAGCGAAAATGTTAAAAAGCGGCAAATTTTTGTGAAATTATTAGCAAATTTAAGTGCACCAAAAGTTTCTGAGGCGTTGTTTACTTTTTTCCTTGAGAATTGTCAAAATCGGCAAATCCTAATTGGCTGTTTCCGGAACGTGCCACATTTGTTTGCTACTTCGTGATGTGATAAAAAGAAAAGCTGGCAGCACTCCGCAAGGTTGCAGAAATCTCTTAAACTATGTTCGAAAAATATCTTGATATGGAAGGAACTGCTTTACCCTGTCAAGGAAAAAATTGCCAAAACTCAACGCAATTTTTAGCAACTTCTATTTTGCACTTTATTATGCTAAAATTAAATATGTTTTAGAGTCTAATTAAAAAGTTTGCAATTTAGGTGAGACCTTGCATAATTTTTTAAATTTTTTTACAAAGTTTGATCCAAACCCAGAGATCTACCACATTTTTTTTAAATCTACCACATTTTTTTTCCAGATTCTACCACACAGAATTTTTTTGAAGTCCGATCACTGAAACTATTCCATGAAGTGAAAGGGTGATAATAACCTAACCAAAGGCTTGTGAAATGGACCATTTTAAAAAGAATTGGACCAATGGACCAATGGACCAAACGAACAGAAATGCACCAAATTTGCTCTCTTTAATTGTGCAGCTGGAGTGCCCTTTTTCACTAATTTGTAGCAAGACAAATAATTTTTATTTAAACATACTTTAGTCGCAATATAATTTAGTATGTGCTCCTCCTTAACAGACGACCCGAACGATGACAGGTGCAGCCACTTAAGTCTTTGAACCACTTCCAGTCCCATATCTGCATTAGAACCAATAATAGTTTTTGGTTTTTATTTAATTTTTTTCAACGGTAGACCACTGTGACTGCACTGCATTTTCAGCAACAATAATAGGCTCACTTTGTACATCAGCATCCAACGAAGCAGCAGTTTTGTTTATCTCGTTCGTTACATTCGCAGCCCCAGCATTGACATTATTGTTCCAAAGAACAGAACTAGTAATAGGGCGTGCGGCAGCAGCAGAAGTAACAGCAACAGAATTACCTAGCGCACAATGAGATTGAAGCAGCGCATTCTCCCCTTCGGTATCCAACGAACGCATGTGAGTGGTGAGAGCACTAACAGGTGTCGAATTCGCTACTGATTGCCCAACAGCAGTATTGGGCAAAATCAAAGTACCAGCAGCAGCATTAGTATTAACTGAAGACTTAGCAGAGGGGGCACTAGCACGCGAATTCGTTAATTTTGGCACTTTTGCAGTAACACTATCACTTGATTTAGATTTTGAGCGAGTACCATATGTGTTGTTGCTACTCAAAGCAGGCGAAACTGACAAAAAACACAACCGATAACTGTGACGAGTTTTAGTGTTTTTAGAGGAAACGCATATATAAGTTACGGAGGAATCCATGGTTTTGCGCCACGATACTACAGCAGCGTACGTGACGATTGGTCTGACTAAAACTATGTAAGTATATTCAGAATGCCATAGCCGCCCTCAGGCCCCAAGCCTTACTAAACCTTCTCCGACACTGACCGAAAACTTTCAGCGCTCGATTTACTTTCTGATCAATGTGAGTTTTTCATGTCAGCTTCGTATCCCCTAGATATTTCATATCCATGGAAAGACTAAGGTTTACGCCTCTAAGCACTGGAAGGTTGAGACCTTCCAATTTTGTTTTCCGAATAAACAAGACTATGCCACTCTGCAAATCCCTTATCATTTTCGTTCTTTTATATGACGCGACAGAATACACGACGTCTAACAAACATAAGAAGGCTTTGGGGACTTTGGGGAGAATCTATGGCCCTTTCCTGTACGAGCTTTTTAAAGCATGGACATGTGTAGTTAAGCGCATAAAAATAACAACGATTTCGATGGCTTGGGTATGTTGTGCGAATGGATGACGACGCTCTGATAAAAAAGTCCTTCGACTATGCATTGGTGTAGAACGAAAGTAAAGGCGCCCATGAACACAATGGAAGGACCAAGTGCAGAAGGACCTTTCCGCACTTGGGATGAACAACTGGCGGAAAACTGCAAAGGTGAGAAGCAACTGGCGAAGCTTTTTGGTCTCGGCCCAAACCGACAAACGGTTGTAATGCCAAATACAAAAGAAGAAGCAAATTATGGCAGAGATGTAGCCAAGAAAGTTCAGGCAGCGAAAAAAAGTGTTTAACCCTATACGTGCTTCGTTAGTCGATTCGACTAACAAAAATCGTGTTTCGCTTCGTACCTCTCTCTGAAGTCATTTACCATTTTGTTTATGTGTTAAACCGCTCGAATGATTTTACTTTTTATGTGAAGTATTGGTTGATATCTTCCAGGTATGTTTATTTGTTAAAGGTACTGGAAATGACAAATGGAGGCAAAAACTATGTGGGTGTATTTTATGTATTTCCACTAATGAATGACAGATGGCGCAAGTCAAGGGAAGGGGGGTATACGGTACAGAGGACAGACAAGGAGTTTTAGTTCGGATTGAAGTTCCACTCTACGAGGGTTATGCTTTCGATGCGTTCTCCTTGTATAAAAAAAACATGCGTACGTACACATTTTGATTGCATTTAATATGGATCTGTTTCTTTTTTAGTAATCTACATATCATACACCGACTTCAAAAGGGTCACAACTCAAAATTACACATTTGTAAGAAAATGCGAAAAATTATTTCTTAGCACATGATAATCATATGGACAAGGGAGTCTTTACCTTAGTTTTTTTAACAAATTATAACAAAGATTTGCTCCTGCTTTGCTGAAAGGTAAATAAAAGCTCTATGTACATTTTTAGCGCTTAATTTCAAAAATGCTAAATTTTGAGTTGTGCCTCTTTTGAATACGGTATCCGATATGTATATACTTATTATATATTTTACATATATCTTACAAAGATACATTATGTGGTATTCCGAGAAATATTATTTTTTTATTTGAACACTTATGCCGAGAGAAAATTTTGGGTGAATTTTTTTTTTCGGTCACCCAATTATTTATTTAAATCCTTTTTTCGACGGAAAGGTCTCGATCAGGATTTTAATTCGCCCTAAAATGGTGTTTATGCACTCAGTTTCTACTGGAATTTTTGAAATAATTTCATATACATGATTTTATATGAGTCTTGCTAAATAGAATGCGGGGAAAGTAGTAAAGCAAAATCATGGGAAACTCTCAATTTTTGCGCGCTTTGGCAATCAGCTGTTTACATGTATCTTTTCTCGCGCACTTGCATTTGCATTGAAAGACAAAAATAAGGTAAATATGAATTAATAATGCATATTATTATATTGTTATCTATTTTACACAGGTCAAATATAGAGGAAAAGGAGAACGCAGAAGCCGTCAAAGCTTTTATTGTAGTATACCTTTCATGCGTTATCAAAGTTCGTACTGTCAAGCAAAGCGAGGAAGGTCGTATGTAAACGGCCCTTAACTGTTATGCTTTATGTCAAAGAAGTTGATAAATAATCGTTATTTTTAGTCGATCCAAAATAAGATTCAAATTTGACTTTTGGTCGAAAACATAATAGTCAAATTTGAACTTTTACTTTTGATAATTTGTCAACTCCTAACTGTTTAAGATTGAAAAAAAACACTGGAAAAATGCAGATAAAAAAAAAAAAAAAAAAATCATTTAAGATTAATATTCCTAAGAAAACATTTGCATACCTGTTGGCATTATATTAATAAATTTCCTCAACAGTGGCATCTAAAAAATGACAAGTAAATTTTTTCTTAATTTGATTCTTGATTTATGATAAATTAGCTCTGATCCAATACTTTTCGTCTAAAATCCTGTAAAAAGGTCAAACAGCGAAATTACTCTCTGAAGTGAGAGTAAAAAATGAGTAACAACCAAAAAGTACGGGAACAAAAAACGAATTTTTAGGGCCGGTTGCTCAAAGCCTCGTCGACACTAATCTTCGGTTAAACATCGTTATCGACGTTACCGACATCGTGTTATATTCATGGATTCGAAGACGTCGATAATGATGTTAACCAAAGATTAGTGTCAACCAGGCTTTGAGCAACCGGCCCTTACGGTAAAAACGTCAAACAGCCGATCGCTTGACACTTTTCATTATTTCACCAGAAGAAAAGGTTCGGGTAAAACTTCATTCTCTATACAACTCTCAAAAAATCGCTCTCATTTGCAGGAGTTTGGAGTACGGGAATATTTTTCCTGTAACTTCCTGCAATACGTGTAAAAACCTGTAAGTTCATGGAGTACTGGATCAGAGCTATTATCTCATTTCTATTTAATTTATTGATAGATTTTACAAGGCGAAATAACTTTATTTTAGCACGCTTTGCTTATAAATTACGAATGTGATAATGTGAACATGCTTTAACAAGCAACACGCAAATTCACTTCGTCTGACTTTTTGAATTTAAACTTTGAAAATAACTGTTATTTTCAATAACTGGTCTTGCATAGTTCACCTGTAGTCGGGGTTGATACCTAGTACGTACATCGAAAAAGTGGCTACCCCGAATCTCAACTGTGTGGCAGACGGCTACCAAGATTTAAATGCTTAGTTAATAGCACAAGTTGTTATGGCTGCCGCAAACACGAAGCGCGATATAACGAGCTGGTTTAAATGACGGGTAGGTATTACAGCCCACCCGTTAGTTTTTTTTTTTCAATGCAGGCGTTGAGTTTTGAACTTTTAATTGCTACTTCATGCTACTCTTTACGTTTTTTGTGTGTTTGAATAAATAAAGTTAGAAATCTAATTAGGCTTTGAAGAAAACTGTTGCTTACAATTGTTGCTGAGTGACAGACAGCATGGCTGCCGTTAAGGTGAGTGCTGTCTGCTGCAGTGATTTACGGAAAATGGCAGATGAAAAGGTGTGAAATTGCGTGGACAAGGATATACAAATAAATGTATGGAAAATATCTAGTTGCCTTGTGAATAGATATCATCAAAGTAGATTAAAGAAAAACAATAAAATTAACAACTAAAGCAAGTTTGATGAAACAAAATAAATCGCATTAAAACAAACCTAAATACATAAACTCATCTCGTGTTGCATTTAAATACTTGCTCTTGAAATACGTATGTACTTACGTTTTTGAGCAAATATGTATGCAACACATCGTAAATATTTAAAAAAATATGTATAGTAAATTACTTACCGTTTCCAATTGCTTCATATAATTCGAAACTATATTACCGGCTTGTATAAGCGGTCGACCACTGTTGAATACAGCACAAATTACTAAACCCAATGAAAACATATCACTAAGTAGGCTGCCCTTCGAAGTTAATTGAGTCTCGGGAGCTGCAAAAGCGCAAGAGCAATGTATAAATAAATTTAAAATGGAAGTGTGTACAATGTGCATTTATTAAGGATCAATTTGCTATTTGGCCTTATTTGGCAAGAAAAAATTTTAAAAGTACATTAGACTTGGTCGATTAAGTTATTTTGCGATATTGTACGAACGATATCGCCGATGTTTTTGCAAAATCGCCCATCGCCCAGTTGCAAAGCCGCCTAAATCGCTATTGTGCCAAAAATGAGCAAATGATAGAAATGGTAAAATCGTTATTAAAACAACAGATTTGTAAAATAATAGTTAGAGAATATACCGCCTACACTCAGAAAAGAGTCAGCTAAATATATTTCCCTTACCACAATATTTGGTAACTGTAACCAAATCGTGTACCTATAACCAAATCCCGTGTTGAGAAAAAACATAATTAGTTGTTGTAACTAAACTCTTTTCTCAGTGTATCAACGCAATGCCTTCAAAGAAACCCCGGTTTTACGCTCTCCTGTAAAGTTTGAGTACCGTAAGATAGGCGGTTATGCAATTGGTCGATGGGTGGTTTTGCAAAAACATCGACGATATAGTACATATATATGTATCACACCTGTCTACTTATCAGGTTATCTGGTTATGTCGTTATACTTTTTATTAACCTTACAATAATAAAATACATTATGGAATAATAATTTTTTACCAGATTACCGGGTAACCAAGCAAGCGTGAACACCCACATTATGTTGTATTTGCTTCAAACAAATAACAATTTGCTATGAAATACAAACTGAGTCATATCTTTAGCCAGTGAAATTGATTCCAAGTGTCAACAATTTGAAGGTTATTAAGGTTTAGTACACAACTTAGGTTATGTTAGTTTATGCTGGCTGCCTACAAAAGAACTCACATAGCCGAAGATACATAATGTCCATAATATTGCCACATAAGTTTACGACCCACAAATGTAATACTGAAGAACATTTCGTTTCTTTGGCGTCTTTTTAGACACTTTCGGCCTTTGTGATAGTTAAATTTCACGGTTACACTTCCTAGGAAACAATACCCTGTTAGCAATGCCAAAGAGAACGCTCTCTTTGGCTAGCTCGTTAGCTTCTTCAGCACTTTCTTTGCAATGAAAAGACCTCAAGGAGTACCAATTAATTCCGAAAATTGGCCATTTTCTAGTTTTTTTAAGGGTCCCGAAGACGTTTTAGCCTTCCTTTTAGTCGCTGTCTTCATATGCGTATACATAGTACGTTTCGAATTCACTTTCATATTCGCTTTAGGCGCTGTTTTCCTATTCGTATTCGTACCTTCGTCGTCGTATTCGTATTCATTGTAGTGCGGTCTTTGTATTCGTTTTCGCAATCATCTTCGTATTCATCCTCTTCTTCGTATTTATCTTCATATTCGTACTTGCCTTCGTATCCGAATTCATCTTGCTATTCATTTTCACATTTGTGCTTCCATTTGTCTTTGGTTGGTCTATCTATTCATATTCAACCTCGCTTCCAACCCCATATTCCTCTTCGTATTCGTGTTCATACTTATTTTCGTTTTTATATTTGTATTCGTAACACCTTCGTATGTGTCTTCGTTTTCATCTCCTTATTCGTATTGGTCTTCGGATATTCTTCAGATTCGTGTTCGTATTCGTCTCCATATACCTTTTGCTACTCGTGTTAGTATTGGTCTTGGCCTTCGTATTTGTTTTCATATTGGTAGTTGTCTTCGTATTCCCTTCTTCGTGTTCAAAACCAAAAATATTAAGCAGAATAAAGTGCAAAATTTATAGATCGTTAGCATACCAAATAAAAGTCAAATCGACCGCATAAAATGTATGCAACCAGGCACCGGCTGGTGTGAGACCTCAGATAGGTATACATACACTTTCTGGCGCCAAACCGGCTGTCGGTTAACCGGCAACTGAAGCGTGTGAAACAGCATTAAGGGTAAGTACAATGGGCTGTTTTCAGCACACGTTTTTTGTGCCTGGTTCCGACCAAAAAGGGTAACCCTACAGTACAGTACATTTTTTAACAAAACAACCAAATCTCTTTCGGAAACTCTGAATTTATACCGACCAGTCGCAAGTATTCTGTCACTTAAGGATAAATGATCGGACTGTTACACTTAAAATTAATAATATTTTTTGCGGAAAAATATTGAGATTTACGTGAGCTGGACCGATTTTAAAATACCTCCAAAAATATAGTTTTTTTTATAAACACTTTTATAACAATAATAACACTTTTATGGTAAAGATAAATTAGCAACAGTATCTATAATACTTACCCATAAAATCCAAATTTGGTTGAGCCATTTTTGAAACCCTGTTACTCCAGGGTTGACAAGGAACTAACTCATTTACATCAGTCTCATTCATTCTTTCTGTAACAATGCAAAAATTTAAAAATACGTACATATATAAAATAAACTGCACAAATTCAATTTTAGTTGCAAATAATTTTAACATCAAATAAAAATAGATTTCTAAATTAGACGAAATTTTATCAAACTCGAATTAAATTTACATACATGAGAAATAGGAGGGTCGCTCGTATTGCCGTAAACTAGAGCATATGGCATTGTCGATATTAACGTTCGAGTACCTCTCGTTTCTGTTTTGGATAAGTTCTGCTTTTTTTAATTTGTCTGAGAAGAACTTATTCTGTTTTAATCTATGGAAAACTTGAGGTGGAAATTTTCTTGTTTTACACATCGTTTTCCCAAATACTATGACTTAAGGTACCTTATTTATAATAGATTACTACCAGCACACATTGGTCTAAAATTGGGCCCTTTGAGATACCACCGAGCTCTCCCAACGCCTACTCCCCATTGGAGCAATTCGTATAGTCAACGAATTTCAGCGGTTACCGTTTTCTGGGGTTAGATTGTTTAAAAATTCTGCGCCCAAAAAATTTGGGTGGTCTAATGCATGTTAAGCACTCTCACAACAGTTCTCTCAGCAGTACTAACTGCTCTGTGTGTCCGCCTATATGAATGTGGCCTGTAAATAGGCTCATAGCAGACGATACTTCCCTTCTTTTAAAGCTCTTCTATGTAGTAACAAGAACTTGGTTGTGTTGCGGGTACTAGCATATTCCCACTTCGTACGCGCTTGTTTTAGGACTTGTAACACAATCATTAATTTACAGGAAATGTGCGGCATGCTGTACCTCTTTCAGGCCGGTAAGAGTGGTGTGGAAGTACCCTCTCTAGCAAGCTCGTCTCCTTTCACGTTCCCTGATATGTTTCACAGTCCTGGTACCCATAACAGATACGGAATCAATTGCCTTTATGCCAGCCTGACTATCGAAGATATAAATTGGTTTTACCTGCCATTTGACATTAGCTTCTAGTTAGTATAGTGTTGAAAATAACTACAATGGTCTGGAAGATGAAATTACGCCATAATTCTGTGTTGATCAACGTATAATCTTTCGCCTACTTTGTTATCTAGCTTGATACCATCAGTATAAAATCGATTTTGATTCGTGTTCTTTTGGCATCTTGTGTTTTCTACCACTAGTATCCTCAGTGTGTGAGCAAAGCACTTGCGTGCCATTCGAGATATCTGGGCTCTAAACCTCGGGCAGCGGCATGCTTTCATATCTTTGCAACATCGTCAACTTTTTTCTATTCAATTGACTACTGCAGTGGAGTTCTGACAATCGCTACTGTAAATTTTCGTCGCTAAAATGAAATGAGTAGGACCTAAAAGTATAGAACNAAGTGTGAGCAAAGCACTTGCGTGCCATTCGAGATATCTGGGCTCTAAACCTCGGGCAGCGAATTTCTCTTTACTAAAATTTTTTGAGGGCGCCCATGCTTTCATATCTTTGCAACATCGTCAACTTTTTTCTATTCAATTGACTACTGCAGTGGAGTTCTGACAATCGCTACGGTAAATTTTCGTCGCTAAAATGAAATGAGTAGGACCTAAAAGTATAGAACATGGAAGAGTAACACATGCGATGCGTAATCAGCCAAATCTGGCAGTGTGGCGGGCATGCATCTAGATGTTGCGTATTGTTAGTGGCATCTGCTATTCTTTTGGAGATTTTTGGCAATCAAAATTGGCGACAGCACATGTTGGAATCCGGCTGCTGAGCGCCAAATGGCACCTATGATACAATCTTTTTCATTTCAAAAGTTGTGTCTGCAAATATAGTCGTGTTTTGATAGGTGGTAATCCTTTATATATCACTCAGGCGAAACTTTGCTTGTCCTCTTTCACTATAAAATATTTCCGCAAGCAGCAGGCAATGCCACTTTTTTACTGGAATTCACCGAGGCTGTACCAGAAAATATATATGGCTTATGCAGTTTCTAACTTTCGGCTTTGACCTTGTAACCCTCCTGCAATGATTGGGTCAAAATTACCCAATTTTCATGAAAAAATTCTTTAGTTACAGAGTTAGGTAAAGCTGCTGCGTTGTTTATTCGTTAAAAGCATAATCAGCTATGGTTTTTCAAAAAATAAAAATTTTTTATTTCATTTTGTTTTCAAGAAGGCGACATAGTTTTTCCATACACCCACAGTATTTCTGGGTCATTTTGACCCACATTATTATTTAGTATTTAAGGGAAACTTTGAATCGGTAAGCATACAGCTCTTGCCGATAAAGTGTCTGCATGTGATAAATAAAATATTAATTGAATTAAAATTGAAAAACCGTTTTTTTCTTAAAATTTACTAATTTGTGTCATTGGGTCAAATTTACCCAAAACATTATAATAACGGGTTTATTCAAAACACTGCAGAAGGGTTAAATGGGAAAAGAATCTTCTTCGGTCTCCATTGTGTTCACCTCAGAAGCTCGGAGCCCACCTTACGCTCGGAGTCGGCGTAAAACTGTAGGGCCCTGCGCTTTGTGTGACAACATCAAGGCGCACGCCATAAATCGGAGGAGAAGCTCGGCCGAACACAAACATATGTGTAAGCGCCAATCTATTGTTATTGTTATTAAACTGTTGTGACTAGCTCCAGAAGCTCTTGAAAAAAAAAACTCTGCAAAATTACGCAGAAAAAAATTTTCAAAAAAGGCGAAAAAGTTTAATGTTTAAAAAATGTAAACTGTTTTCAATAGTTTTAGAATTCCTGAAAAGGAAAAAAAAGTTCTGCAAAATTACACTAAAAAGAATTTTTCAAAAAAGATGAAAAGGTTTTATGTTTGAAAAAAAAAATTAAGTAGTCAGAACAGCTTTTCAACAGTTCTAGAGTTCCTGAAAGGGAAAACAATTCTGAAAAAATACGCGGAAAAAAATTGTTCCAAAAAGGCAAAAAAGTTTAATGTTTGAAAGGAAAACGGTCTTGCAAAATTACGCCGAAAAAAAATTTCAAAAAAGGCGAAAGTTTAATGTTAAAAAATAAAATAAGACTGTTCTGAGTAGCTCTCCAATAGTTTTAGAGGAAAAGGGAAAAAATCTCTGCAAAATTACGTCGATAAAAAACATTATTCTGCGTCATTCCGTACGCTATCTGCACGGATATCAAACTTCACATCACATATCTGTATCTACATACATCGATAAAATTTCTGTGGATTTGAAAAACATCCCGCAATAGAATGGTGAAATACATTTCAGTTTAGTAAAATATATCGCATGCTCCGAGACATATACATACATACTACATCCTATAGCATGACGACATTAAAATTAAAATCATATGCATATCATAAATCCAATAAATTTTATTCCAAATGAATAAAAGACTTACCAATAAATTCTAAGCCAGCCAGCTTCCAGGTACCACGCTTGGTAACTAATATCGATGATGGACATACATTTCGATGAATAACGTGGCCCGAATAGTGTAAATAGGATAAAGCCTCCACAAGCTGCATGTATTTGAAGAAGAAAGAACAAATACACAAATACATACATATACAAATGTTTATTTAAGCACTTTGTTATTTAGATGCAGTGAATTAAAAAAAATAATACGAAATGTACAGTTCATTGGATTGAAAATTGCGTTCTTCTCAAAAAAGTTTTTTTTTTAATTTAATTTGTTTGTCGGAAATTATTCATCTCAATTGCATTTAACTTTGTTTGTAATTAATTTGTACTCATATTAACTGTATAATGTAATAAGTCAAGTGGAAAACTTAATACCTTTGAGTTTTGCAATAAGATTGTGTTGTTATGAAAGGCAGAAAATATGCCTTGTATGAATTTACATATGTGTAAAATGCAGATATTCTCTAGAATATTTATCTTTGGAATTTGATTTTATACAAAATTAATTCTAAGGCAAGCATTGAGTGCAAATAGCTAATTTCAGGAAATCACCCAAAGTTTTGCGTTACAAATAAATATCAGAGTGTAAAATTTAAAATGTACTATCGAAATGATGTACTTCGTTTTACAGATCTTTGGTCCTGTCAAGTAATTCACGAAATCGTATTAGGAGTTCTTGTCACGCTGCATAGGGGGAAATGAGAGGACTTAATTAAATCCGTCGAAATTTGCAAGATTAAAAGTAACATAAGGAGTTTTTCCTACATATTATTTGCACTAGGGATGCCAAAATATGAGGAAAATTGTGATCCCGGGATTTCGGGATATTTTTTCAGTAATCCCGTCATTGAGTCATAATATTTATGAATATGAGGAAGAATTCAATATCTGAAAGCATTTAAACATACCATGAAATTAAACTATATAAAATTTACGATAAATTTTGAGGGTGTCAATCGGACCTTAGATTCGTATTCACCTTGTCGAAATACATGTCGGTAGTTGGGTCTGGTGAGAAGCACAAAACTCTTTTTTTTTTGTGCCGCTGTTGGTATTATTGCACTTAAAATGTGTACGTAAGAGCAGCAGAGTATTTAAAGTGGAGTCTTCTAACCATGACCTGCGCTTGTTACATACAAAACCTGCTCATAAAAAACATCTTTCGGCCTCAACACTTTTAGGCTCAACTGTAAAAAGGTAATCAAAAGCAGAGTTGTTCCGAATATTCGCATTCGCAACCGCGGAGCTTCCGCATTAATTTTAACATTCGCATTCGCAATAGTCAATGCGAAGCTTTTTAATGACGACGCAGGTGGAGAGATTGATGAAGAACAGCTCATCGGGGGATAGGCCGTCTGAAGAATTGCTCGGGCGTTATCTGTGTGGCTTCAGGCCTAACTTTTTCATCGATTTCAAATTCGGTTGGCTGTAAAAAAAATAAGCAGCCTCTACGAAGCCATGTCATGATTTGGAATTCTCGCAAAACTAATACGGCTATGCAGAGTCTTGTTGAGGACAACTGTCAGCTCCGTCTAAATTGGGTAGGACCTTTTTGGCGCCGTACTAGACCAAACGAGACTACTCATTTCCAGGCGAATTTTTTAATCTGAAACATAATAAGAGTTCCCCGTCTAAGAGAGCAGCACCTTTTGTAGCAGAAGCACGATCATCGGCCTCATCACTAGGCCCAGCTACGCAGCTAAAGCGGTTTGGCGAGCGGTTTGAACGATGACAAGGCAAAATATCTTTGCGTATTGGAAGCATTACCGCCATCAATAGTATCAGCGTAGAGATCAGATTAAAAAGAAGAGCCCCTTAAAATTATGCCCGTGCTTTTATACGGCGCAAAAATTTCGACTATGTGGAACAAAGGGTCATTTTAGAGATCCATTCACAACACAACGTAGAAGATGGAATGATGACATGTCGACAAACCCGTTAACCAGAGAAAGATATGCTTAATGTACATTTATTTAGGTATAAATGACTAAAATTATATAGTATGTATTTGTATGTATGCAATTCATTTAAAAAAAGTAAGTGCGCCTGGGCCACACTGGAGAAGTGAAACTTACGTTACATGTCGTCACCTGATATGCAAAAAGACGCAACAACATCGTCAATTAAATGAAAAAAGTCATGGCTAATATTTTAATTATTTTTTTTTTCATAAAATTATGCGGCGAGCTGTAATTTGATGAAATCCATCGCATAAATCAAAAAGTGAGTTTTGAACTTTTTATTAGATATGACTTTTTGCATTTCAACGATGATGTTTGTTACGCCTTTTTGCATTTCAGGTGACGATATGTTTCTATTTTGTCTCATAACCAATATACATATATATGTGCATATATAACCAATATACTTACATATGTGCATATATCTGCTTTTGTTTAAGGTTATATTTTTGTCTTTTTTCTATCTAGATCCCTACCTCTAACCATGTTTGTTCTAATTACATTTATGATATTCTGCTTTCCTTCATCTTTATACTCTATCGATAACAACTCTAACGACAAAAACCGATAAAAATATTGATAACAAAATCGACGACAAATTCGATAAAAATTTCGATAGCAAAATCGATAATAATAATGGTAGCAAAATCCATTAGAAAATTCATAAAAATATCGACAACAAAATCTATAGAAATGGATAACAAAATCTATAAAAATATCGATAAATAATCGCTAACAAAATCGATAACAAAAGTCGATTAGAATATCGATAAAAATATAGATAACAAAACCGATAACAAACTTGATAAAAAACATCGATATCGAAACCGATAAATAATCAAAAAATAATCGATAAAAATATCGAAAAGAAAATCGATAAATAATCGATAACAAAATCGATTAACAATCGTTAAAAAAATCGATAACATATCGATAAAATCGATGGCAAGTTTAATAAAAATTTCGATTGCAAAATCTGTAATACCATTGGTACCAAAATCAATTAGCAAATCGATAAAAATATCTATAACAAAATTAATAAAAATATATAACAAAATCGATTACAAAATCGCTAAACATATCGATAACAAAATCGATAAATAATCGACAACAAAATCGATAAATAATCGATACAAAAATCCATAACAATATCGATAACAAAACCAATAAAATATCGGTTATTATATCGATAAGTCCCGAGAATCCCGAAAATCTCCAAAATCCCAAATTTGTTACCAGATTGAGTCTGTGTCTCTATCTATATCCTTTTCTCTATAATTGCCGTTATTTTAATCTTTCTTTCTCTGTCTTCATCTTTACTTTTATCGGTGCCCTCATCCTCATCTTTTTCTTTATATTTATCTTTGTTTTTACTTTTGTATTTATCATTTTCTTCTTCTACATATTCCCCTTCACCTTTGCATTTATATAAGTAAAGTGTTTATATTTACCTTGTTCTTCATTTATAACTTTATTTTTACGCATCTTTGTTTTTGTTTTTATTTTTACATTTGCCTTTATCTATGTACGTACTCATCTTTACTTTCATTCTTGTATTGGTCTTTTGCTAAGTGTTATTCTTTATCCCTTTATTAGCATTTTTTTATTAAATTAATAACATACATTCAAGAAGGACTTGTTTCCGTCCCAACCATTTCCGTTGCACTATTTCCGCTCCACGATTTCCGTGTGCAATTTCCGTTGAATTTGCCAATTTACTCCCAACCNTTTTTTTATTAAATTAATAACATACATTCAAGAAGAACTTGTTTCCGTCCCAACCATTTCCGTTGCACTATTTCCGCTCCACGATTTCCGTGTGCAATTTCCGTTGAATTTTCCAATTTACTCCCAACCAACANTCCGCCAAAGAAGTTTCACTTCAAAAAAGCTCTTCCCTTAAACGAATTAAATTTTCAGCTGGCATTATAACTTCACACAAACACCTTAATAAATGCACATAACTTTAAGCAAAAATAAATATCTGTTGATGATTTTCCAAACAGATTCTTAAATTTATTTTTACTTTATATTTAAGTGGAAATTTTGCTCTTAACCGTGACTAATAAATTAAACCGACTGCATAAGAGNTCCGCCAAAGAAGTTTCGCTTCAAAAAAGCTCTTCCCTTAAACGAATTAAATTTTCAGCTGGCATTATAACTTCACACAAACACATTAATTTAATGCACATAACTTTAAGCAAAAATAAATATCTGTTGATGATTTTCCAAACAGATTCTTAAATTTATTTTTACTTTATATTTAAGTTGAAATTTTGCTCTTAACCGTGACTAATAAATTAAACCGACTGCATAAGAGTAACAGTATGAAATTAATTGGTTTTCAATTTCTCATACATACATATGTAATACCTAAATATGTATGTGCTTACACATAGTTATGACTTTTATATGGGCTTAAGACAATTTTTTTAGCTAGCAGACCTACATACATGCATATATAAATAAGAATGTATGTATATACACATACTTACTTACCNGCTTACACATAGTTATGACTTTTATATGGGTTTATGACAATTTTTTTAGCTAGCAGACCTACCTACATGCATATATAAATAAGAATGTATGTATATACACATACTTACTTACCTGTAGAAAACCATATTTCAATTCGATATCCAAAAAATTATACTCCTTCGCATGTGCTGGCCTTTGCGGTATTGCTGTATTTTGTTGTTGACTGCTCTGTGTGCCAGTGCCGCCTGTATTCGATGGCATAGCAATATTTTCATAAGTTTTTGTTTCCTATAAAGACATACAAAAATAATTGAAAATTATAACTATATTCCACTAAAGAAAAGCAAACCAAAATAATAAAATGTCCAAGAAAAATGTACATACATTTATGTAGGTACAATATTTATGCATATGTACTAGGGTGTTCGATTATTCGCCTTATTTCAAAAACCGGTTTTTAAGTTATTCAAAAATGGCCATTCGAAAAAAACCTGGTTCTCTATTTTTCTCTATTTGCAAATTAAGAAAAAAACCAAATAAACCGGTTTTATTTTTCATATTTTCTCTCCACTAACATTTACTTTTAGTCAGAAGTCACAACTATAATATGTATAATCTAAAAGTGGTTATAGCATTAATTTAGAAGTCTTTAAGACAAAATAAGTTTGAAGTATTTTGAATTACAAGTAAAGCAGAAACACTCAGTGGGGTTCACCGATCTTAACAAGAATAGATCGCTAAAATAGCGGTCATAACATTGACATTACCGACTGCCTTGGAAACGATAATACGCCATCCGCTGACCGACTAGTAAAGACAGGCCATTCGTCGGAGAGCTCGAGTTGCTGTGTGAGGGTCGCGTTACTTTGACACAACTCCATTCAGGATATTGTATCAGGTTAAACTGTACATTGAAATTTGAATAATATGCCCCGACGATATTAACCACCTCTTCATATACCCACTCACAGCAGCTCATCTAACATCTTTCTCGCTACGGCCGAAACAGCTCGAATCGAGCTTTTTCCTGAGCCTGCCGTTAGATAAGGATGAAGACAACATGTAATCGATTCATTGAGTAGTAAGCTACTGCGAATATTATTTTCTTTTTTTAGCCCATTAATAGAAACGGTATATTAACAGGTTAATTTAATTTAATTTTTTTTATTTATTTTTGAAGTTTTTTTACATACATCTTTATGTATAGAAAGTAGTATACTGTTTGCGCGATGAAGGCAATTTCGAAACAGAAATCTTCCAAATTTTCGTTATAGAATTCTCAAATATCACTTATTAAATCAAATATCAAATATCGCCTATTTTTAGAAGCGTAAAGTGGCCAGAAGTCACTACGGGGAGGTGGCAGGTGGTAGGTAAGTAGGTAACGATATGTTTGTATATAAATACTGACTACATACTTTCATATACTACATTAGAATGTTTCACATAAAACAACTATTTCTTTCTTTCGGTCCCATAAAAAAATAATAATTGTGGAAAATTTCCGCCCTTATCTT